TAAAAACAAAGAAAAATACATTCATTATAATACAATAAAATAATAAAAAACTAAATAATTTTTTTTTTAAAAATTTTAAAAAAAAAAAAAAAAACTAATTTAAAGATTAAAATTAAAATATATATATATATGTACTATTATTAATATATATATAATAAAAAAATCATTTCTACCCTTTTTTTTCATCCACAATCATATTCCAATCATAAATATAGTCTAATTCATATCCTAAATTCTTAAATAAATCTTTAAACAGTTTTCTTAAATACTCATAGTCTGGTTTTTCATCAAATCTCAAATTCTTAGTATAACTTAAATAAGTCCCAAATTCTTATGGAAATCCTTTACAAAGTACTTCTACTGGAGTTTATAATTTCTTTTCCATTATTTTTTCGTATTTATCTTTTTTATTATTAGTTTTTTAGTTTTACCAAGGTAAAACACCTTTTAAGAAATACATAAACATATACCCAATACTCTCTAAATCATCCCTTCTACCTTATTCGACTCCCAAATGAGTATTAATAGAAGCATATCTAGCAGTCCCTTTTATTTAATTTATATTTTAAATAAAAAGATTATTAAATAAAAATACCAGTTAACGACTTTCCTTCTTTATATTCGATATGTTTTCCATCTTTTTTAATATATCTTTTGGCTAATCCGAAGTCCACAATAAAAATTTTATGGGCAGTTTTTCCAGTTCCAATCAAGAAATTATCAGGTTTAATATCTCTATGTAAAAAATGTTTACTATGTATATATGAGACTCTCTAAATGACTTAATCTGCAATCATTAAAACTGTCTTAACTGAAAATTTCCTATTGCAGATATCAAATAATTTCTCTAAAGAAGGACCTAATAAATCCATTACCATGACATTATAATCTCCCTCAGTAGCAGCATAATATACTATAGGAATTCCTTTATCAATTATTGTATTATCGCTTTATAGGTATTAGTATAATTTTACTTCAAAAAATAATTAAGGGTGCTTTGTGGATGCTAATTCCATTTTAATGGCAACTTCCATATTGTTTTTATGTTAATGCCATGGAATACTTCACCAAATGCACCTTAATCTACTTTTTTTGTTAGTTTATATGTATTTCCTACTTTTATTTCCATTTTATGTATATTATTTTTCTTGGTTTATATATTTTTTTTTAATATTTATAATAAATTTTGGTTTTTATTTATTTTATGTACTTTTTTTATATATTTTTATTTTTTTAAATTTTTTTTTATAAATAAAAATTAAATATTTATATGTTTGTTTTTTTTTTTGCTTTATAATATTATTAATATATTTTTTATACTTAAAGCTTTAATTAAAAGAATAAAATTTTAAATATTAAAATAAATTATGTGTAAATTGAAAAGCTATTTTAATATTTAATTATGTTAAATATTAAATTTTAAAATGTAAATATAAGAAAACAATGATTTAATAATTATTCTCTAATATATTTATATATAAAAATTTTTAATGAAAATATATAAATTATATATTAAAATTATACGAAAAATAAAAAAAGGTATATTATATTAAATAATGTTAATAAAAGAAAAAAAAATATTAAAATATTTAATAAAAAAGTAGATATAAAAAAAGAAATATTATAATATAAAAATATATTATATAAAATAATATTTATATGTATTAAAATAAAATAAAATATTAATCAATAAAATTGAATATATATAAATAAATATATTTATATATGTATATATATATATATATATATATCTATATTTATATATTTATAATCTATTTATAATATATTTATAATTATTTATAATTATTTTTAATTATTTTTAATTTATTTTTATATTTATAAATATTTATATATATTATTTTATATATTTATTATTATAATTATATTTATATCTATAATTATACATTTTTCTAATTATTTATATATATTTTTCTTCAAATTTTAATAACACAAACTCCAAAATCACAACTAAATGCTAATGTATTATCATTAACTTAAATATAATAAGGATAACCCATATCAAATATATATTTATGTTTAATAAGTTAATCAGGTGTATTTTACAATCTTATATATAAAAATATTAAAATAAAAATAAGATATAATTTAAATATATACTTTAAAACATTAATTTCTTTCACAACTTTTTAATTAAAGAAGCTTTTATAATTACAATTAAAATCAATACTATCAACCTAAATTTAATTAATCCTAATATCTTTATTTTACATTCTTTATTCTTCATCAAGTTATTAAATATCATCTAATTCCCTTATTTTAACATTTAAAGCCTAAATAATTTCCTTTTGTGAATAAAGATTTATTATAACTTTATTTTTTATATCAAATGCCTTTATAAATTTAATTTTTTTAAAAAAAATAAATTAAATTTAAAAAGAATTACTTTAACATGTTTATGATCTTAAACAAAAATAAAAAAATTTTTAGCTAATTTTACATGAGAAATAAATTCAATATTTTTATCAAAAGTAATCAAATCATTAGTAGTTTACGTTTATAAATTATAAACTGAAATTATTTTTTTCATTTATTCTTTATATTCCAACCATATAAATTATTACCCATCATAATCAAATGGAACACTTATATTTGGAATATTTAATTATTCATAATTTTTCCATTCTTACTTTTCAATACAATATACTTATAAAATTCCCTTTAATGGACTATTTTTGTAATCAAATACTATATATATCATAATAATTAAAATATATAAATAACATTTATATTAATGTATTATATATATATGTAATTTAAATATATATATTATATATATATTTTTATATATATTTTATGATATGATATGATAATATCGTCTAAAAATTTTGACTCTAAATTTTTTATTTTAAACTTAATTATACGTTAAATTGATTAAACATTTAGGAAAATAATATAATATTAAATTTATAAGATTTTTAAAATATAAGTATTAATTTTTTATAATATGAAATAAAAATTATATAATAATTATAATATAAAAAATATTTATTTATAAATGTTTTAATAATTTCTTTATATATTAATATATATATAATTATATACTTGCGTCTTTATTTTGTGTAGGGGTTGCTAATGTCATTGCTGCTGTATTTTTATTTAAAAAAGATATGGTAGAAGCACAGATATTAGTTTTTTTATCACGATGATTTTCAAATATGTGTTTATATATACTTTCTTTATTATTTATATCATATAAATTTATTTAAATAAGAGAGAAATCACCTACTAAAACATATCCAATTCCATTTTCTTAAACATGTATCTTTTTTTTTAAATAAATAATTTCTGATTTTTTTTAAAAAAATTTAAATTTATAAATAATTTATGTTTTATACTCCTCGAATAATTTCTTCATATACTTCTTAAATATATTGTAATTAAGAATTTTAAATGTTGTATATACCAACATAACCTGATATTGATCCTACTATAACTAAATCTAAATATATATATATATATATATATATATATATATATATATATATATATAATATTTATTTATTTATTAATTTTTAATATTTTTAATTAACCTTAATGAATTTGTACTGCCGTTATAGGTTCTCCTATTCTTATTTTTATTAATTTTTCAAATTTTTATTAGATATTATTTGATATCATTATTTTATTTTAAATTAAAATAAGATTATTTATTATTATCTTTTTTTTATTTTTTTTTTTAAATAAAAACAAATAATAACTTTATAAATTTAAAATAAAATCTATTCAATAAATTATTAATTTAATTTTAAATATATATTATGTTTTTATTGTTAATATATATTTTTAATTATGTTTATATAAATATATTTATATAAATATGCATATATTAATATATCTATATATAAATATGCATATATTAATATGCCTATAATAAAATATATATATATATCAAAGATAAAATAAAAAAAAATTATAATTAAAAATAAAATGTCATTTGTTCTTAAATAAATTAAAAAAGTTTTTAATCCAAATGAAATCAAGTAATAAAGTGAGTAAAAAAAATAAAAAAATAAATCCATTTTCTCATTTAAATTTATATTTTAAAATTTTTTAGAAATGATAAATAAATTATTTCAACTTAAAATAAATTAAATTTTACTACAATTTATAATAAAAATGAGGATTATATAAAAATGGATTAACTCTAAAACGATTCTCATCAAATTTCAAGAATAGAAAAATTTAAATAAATTTTAGATTAAAGAATTATCGATTATGATAAATTACAATCATTATCATGGGATGGAATACCTTCTTGTAAAATTAATATTTTAATAAAAAAATTAAAAAAATAAAATAAAGAATTTCGTGGAAAAGTATGGCGTGTTTTATTAAAATATTTGCCCACAAACAGAGATACATAAGAAAATACATTAAATAGAAAAAGAAAAGATTATGCAGATATGGTAGATACATATTTTAGTATAAATGAATAAAATGATAGGGATAAATATGAATAGAAAGGGTTGGATTAAGTCATATGCGATGCCGAAAGAACCCTACCATATTCAAAATTATTCAGAGATATAAAAATTAAAGATATATTAGTGAGAGTACTTTTTATATGGAATGTAAGACACCCAGCATGTGGATATGTATAAGGAATAAATGATATTGTAACAAGCTTTATAATCGTATTTTTATCAGAATATTGTACAGTTAATATAGAAACATTATAAATACCAGAAGACTTTGAAAAATAACACCAAAGTAATTTTAAGAAATTGAAGCAGATTCATATTGGTGTTTAAGTAAAATTTTAGGTATTTTTTTTTTAAAAAAAATATATATATAAAATTTATAATAAAGTAAAAAAAAAAAATTCTTATGAAAAAAAAATATATTTATTAAAAAAATAATAAATATATGATAAATTATAATATATATTATACATATTTATAGATAATATAATTATTGTTAAAAATTAAATATTAATAATGATAATTGTATTTAAATATTATAATTTAATTATATAAAAATAAAAACAAATATATAAAATGTATATTTATATAAAAAGGTAAAAAAAAATAAAAAAAAAATATATATATATATATATATATATATCATATCAATATTATTAATAATATTTATATATTAATATATATATATATATATATTAATATCTAATTTTATATTAAACATATTTATAATATAAAATAGATGGAATGTTAGATAATTATACAAATAATTTTCCTGGCGTAAAAAAATAATATACTAAAGTTTAAGAAATCTTAAAAAGATTAGATAATGATTTATTATAACATCTTTCTACAGAAATAGAGTTTTATGAATTAGTTTTTAAATGGCTAATTTGTTTACTTTTGCGTTAATTTTCTCCTAAATTGGGTTTAAGATTGTTTGATACTTATATTAGTGATGATAATTCAATTTCTAATTTCGGAGTATATTTATTTAGTGCGATTATTTTAAAATGGAGTGTTAAATTAAAAAAAATGAAGTTTGAAGAAATTATTATGTTCCTTTAAAAAATACCGACTACTGAATGGACAGAAAATGATCTTAAATTGGTTATTGCGGAAGCTTATTAATATTAAGCATTATTTGAAAATACTACGGTTGTTAAATATAATTGATATTTGATATTTTTATTTTTTTGTTTTTTTTAATAATTTTTTTTTCTGTTTTATTTTACACATTTTAATTATATCTATATTTATAAATATATATTTATTGATATATTAATTAATTATTTAATATATTGAAATTAAATAAGTATAATTTATATATTAATATTCACAATAATACAATATATTTTTTTAAAAAAAATAAATAAAAATAAATCAATATAATATAAATTATTTAATATCTAGTCTATCTATTTTTATTTTATCTATCATATATATATCTTATACTTTGATTTTACAATATTTATTCATATATATAAATTTTAGATAATTTTAAAATCCTAAAAAATATATTTCCTTCAATTGATTATGGCTATTTATTATTTAATTATATGCGTATTTTTGCCAAAAAAATATCAATTTTAATAATCTTAGTTCTCATAAATTTATGTAAACATTTAAAAAATATATAATATAATTTTTTATATTAAATAAAAAAACTAAAATATAAAACAATTACAAATTAACAATAAAATATTTGACAAATATAAAAATTTATAAACATGTATAAAAATTGAAATCATTTATAAATATTGTCTAAAAATATATAATTTTAAATAATTACATGTGTAAAAATATAAGAGAATTAAAATAATTATAGAAAATTATTATATTAATAAATTACAAGTTCAGAAATCATTAAATTTTACTAATATATAAAGGAAAAAAAGTTTATATAAAAGTGTTATATTATAATAATTTAAATTCATTTATATTTTTGTTTATATTAATAGATTTTAAAAAAAATATGTAAATTATAAAATATTGTATATATATATATATATGTATATATATATATATATATATATATAAAATATTTTTGTATATTTATAATATTTATTTTTATTTTTATTTTTATTTTTATTTTTATTTTTATTTTTATTTTTATTTTTATTTTTTTTTACTTTTATTTTTATTTTTAATTTTATTTTTATTTTTATTTTTATTTTTATATTTATTTTTTTATTTTTTTTTATTTTTTTTTATTTTAAATATCATTTGATATTTATATCTTTTATTATTTGATATTTTTTGATTTTATATTTATATTATAAATTAAGTAAAAATTAATAAATTTTTTATATAATTTTTTTTTTTTTACCAGCATTATATTTATATGAATCTTTTATTTTTATATTGTACATTTATTTAAAAATATATATATATATTTAATGTTAATCATTTTTTATATTTAATAAATTAGCAAATATTTTTTATTTATTTCTTTATTTAATTTTATTTTTTATTAAAAAGAGTCTATAATGTTCCCTAATCTGTAAAAAGTTGTTTTATTGTTTGAATTTGATAAATTTATTTTTACTTGATTGTATAATTCTTAAATATTTCATTTAATTGTTTTTTCTATTTATTATCATACTTTTGAGAATTGTATATCATATTATTATTTAGTTTATAGATAAATTTATTTGTTTTCAGGTTTTTAGAATTTTATTCTGTATCTATTATTTTTTATTTAAAAAGAATATCGTTTATTTTTACTTTTAAAGATTATTAAATTAAAGAAATAATATTTTTATAAATTTAGTTGTTTGAAGTTTATTTCATTTTTTGTTAAGTTTAGAAATAATAGATTTTATAATATTTTTCTTTTTTTAATTAAATAATATATTTATTTTATAGTGATAAATTATGAAACAAAATATAATTAATATTTTTATATAATTTTATATAATAGACTCTACTATAAATATATTTTTTTAAAAAAATATACTATTTAAATATTTATATTTATATTCCATTTCTATTTATATTTTATTTATTAACATAAAGACTTAGAAAATATTTTTTTCATTTACGGATATAGTACAAGATGTCTTTATTTAATATATTTTTTTAAATAGTTTATATTATTTTTAGATAATAAATATATATAAAACATGTAATTTATATTTATTATAGATTAAAATGTTATTTAAAGTATTATTTTCATATTTAACAAACATAATTAATTGTTTTTTATTAATTAAATATAATTTTAAAATAATATTTTATTATATTTATTACTACATTAATTAAATTATTGTTTATTTTAATTAAATTATTTTTTAATTTTATTTTATAATTAAAATGAAAAAAGAAGTTGATAATTTTTTAAAAACTAATTTAAAATTAGCATAAAAAAATAAAATAAAAAAAATTATCAAAAATAAAAATAAAAACAAACAAACAAAAAATAAAATTTTATTTTTATAAAAAAATAAAAATAAAAAATTAATAAAAAAGTAAAGCTTTATCAATTAAAAAATAAAAAAAAAACACTTTTAAATTTTCCAAAAAAAATAACAAAAAAAAATAACAAAAAAAATAATGAATAATAAAGATGAAAACTACGATTATATATTTAAAATAGTTTTAATAGGTTATTATTTTTGTTAGAAAAATAAATAAAAATAAGAATAAAAAAAAGGAGATTCAAACATAGGCAAATCAAATTTATTATCTCGATATACAAAAGATGTATTTAATTAAGACCAAAAAACGACCATAGGAGTTGAATTTGCAACTAAATCTTTATAAGTAGATAATAAATTAATAAAGGCATAAATATGGGATACTGCTGGGTAAGAAAGATATAGAGCAGTAACATCTGCATATTATAGAGGGGCAGTAGGAGCTTTATTAATATACGATATTACAAAATAAACATCATTTAAAAATATAATAAAGTGGTTAGATGAAATAAAAGATCACGCAGAACCTCATATAGTAATAATGTTAGTTGGAAATAAATCTGATTTAAAACATTTAAGGTAAGTAAAATAAGAAGATGCTATTTAATTCGCAGAAAGTAATAATATTGCGTTTGTTGAAACTTCAGCTTTAGATTCTACTAATGTGGAGTTGACTTTTTAAAGAATTATAGGGGGTTTTTTATTATTTTTATATATATATATATTCCTTTTTAGAAATTTATTAATTGCTTAATAAAAGATCATAGGCTTCTGATGTAGTAGTTAATAATGATAGTAATATATCAAAAAAAGGAGAAAGTTTATAAAAAAATAATGTAAATGAATAAAATAAATCTCAAGGATGTTGTTGAATTTTTAATTTTTTATGATACTTTTTTTTTATTTTTATTTTGTATTGTTTTAATATAAATAAAATAAAAAAATATATATGTATATATTTTTTTTTTTTAAAGATTTTAAATAGATGTATATATATATATAGGTAAAGAAATTCAGTATATATATTACAATGATATTTTATTTAAAACATAATAATATATTAAATGGATTATAAATTGTGGAAAATACCAATAATTAATTAATTTTCGCGGCCTTTTATTATAGTATATACTTATTTTTTTATAATATGATGGAAAATATTATATAATTAATGTTTTTTTATTTTAATTTTGATAATATTTTATATATAACTTTATATATAATTTTTTGTTTTTTTCTAAAAATTATTTAATTAATTAATATAAAAAATAAAAATCATAAATAATCTTTTTATTATTATTATTATTAATTTTTTCCCTCAAAAAACTCTATAAAATGACTTTCGGCTTCCAAAACCTTTCTCTAATCTTATAAAATAGTATAAAGTACTGCTAAAATAAAGAATTTAAAAACAAAAAAACCCAAACTAAATATAATTACAAAAAGTCGAATATATTTTTAACTACCTTGGTCATCACTATATTCATATGAACTCCATTTTGGTAAAAATATTATCATCCAAAAAATGTCTAGAATTCCTGAAAAAACCACAGAAAAAATAATTGCTTTCAAATTTTCACAAAGATTCTTTTTTATTAAAATTGTAATGAAAAAAATTCCTATAAAAACGTCCAAAAATGCACTTCTTTTTACACACAAGAAAATTCCCAAAAATAAATATAAAATGAAAAAAAAACCTATTTAACTAACAAAAACAGACAAATCATTTACTTACATTAAATTATTTTTATTTTTAACTTATGTTTAATTTAAAACTTATTATGTTTATTTACCTAAAGTAAAATTCTCTTAATCGAAATCTTAATATTAATCTTAATTAATATCCTATTTAGGAAAAAATGGTAATTCTAAACCCATTAATTACTCTTTAAAAGATTAAATATCTTAATAGAGTGTATTTATATTCTCTTTAATAGATTTAATCTAAACCAAAGAATCTTAAATATTTAAGATATCCAATTTACCAGAAATATCCAAAGTAAAATTATCATTGGTTTATTCATTTACTAAAAAGAAATTTTATAGAGAAAATTTTTCAAAGTCAAAAGTATCAAAAGGAATCTATGACTAACCTATAAGAATATTATTATCATATATATCAATAACAAAAAATTCATCAATTTATACTGAAAACTAAAAAAAATATACATATATAAATATAAACATAATTATATATATAAATACATATAAAATAAACAATTCATATATATATATTTACTCATTAATTTATATCTATTAATTATTAAGAAGTTATATTATAGATATATTAAACTAATTTTAATAGGAAATTCTTGCCTCATATTATTTAAATGGTGCATTTATATTTATTCTTAATTATTTTATTTTAAATTAGTTTTATTATGATTAATTTTGTGATTAAGGTATAGTTTTTACTTTTTTTTCTACTTGTTATGTGAAATTTTTTACTTGTAATATTCTGTCGTTAGTTTATATTATTTTCTGGTTTAATAAATTTACAGCTTCTATATGAACATCTAAAAAAGAATTTAATGTAGGCTAATATAAACTACACATTCTTTCATATAATTCATCCAGTGTATCTGGATCATATTATTACATATAATTAATTACCTTATTTTTTAAAATAATATTATAAAAATATATAGATATTATTACTTGAGTTTTTTATATTAAGTAATTTAATATTTCTTTTAGTTCTTCTTAACTTATTTATTGATTGAAATTTAATTATGGAAAATGTGTTTAGATATGAGAAACTAATTATTTCTTTTCAAGATTTATCATATATATTTTAGAGAGTATTTTATATTTATATTTTATTTTTTTATTTTTAATTTTTTAATTTATTTTAAATAAAATTAAATTTTATTTTTAATTTTTTTTAAATTTGTTAATTTTTAATAATATTTTTCAAAAAAATTATTTTTGAAATAAATAAATTATAAAGCTTTCAAATTTAAATTTAAATTACATATTAAAATCATTATTTATTAAATTATATTATAATTTATAAAAATATAATATCATATTTTGTATTTTTATTATTAGAGTTCTCATTTTTAAAAATTTAAAATAATATTAATTAATATTTCTATTATAATTGTATTTTAATCATTTATATTTTTTTTATAATAATTATTTCTCTATATTTATGTTTTTTGTATTATTATCTAATCTATAAAAAATATTATTTATTGAAGCAATTATTAAGCAATAATTCTTTAGTCATAAAATAAATCTTAAATAATATTTTGATGAATTTTATTAATTAATTTAATATTAAATTTAAATAATTAACTTAAAAATAAAAAATAACTATTTATTAGATATAAATATTTTGCTTTAAAAAAAAATTAGTTATATAAAAAGAAATCTAAATTAAATTAAAAATAGTATTATTAAAAATTAATAATAATAAAATTAAAAGTTATTTTAAGTGTTTTTATTGCATTTATTATATTGAGATAATATAAGTGTAAAAAAAAAATATATACTTCTTTTATTTTATTATTAATAAATTTTTAAATGGTGAGTTAAAATATAATTAATTTTTAATTATTTCCAAATTTTACAGCTATATATTAGATTTTGTTAAAAAAGACTATTTTAACTACAAACATCAAAATAAGTTATTAAAAGAAGAATCTTTTGTAAAAAAATTATATTTAAAATCTTTTATTATAATCAAATTATATTATCTATTATAAATAGTTAATTAATGATTATTTTTTTTATATTCTAAAAGATATTTTATTTAGATATATTAAAGATAAAAAAAATTATATAATATACGAATATTTTTATTTAACATAAACAAAGGATAATAATAATAAAATATAAACTGATATTAAAAACTATATAATAATTATAAGATCTTTATTAAATATTTATTTGAAAATTTATTGATCTAAATAAATTTATAATGATTGCTTAAAATATAATAAATAAAAGTAAATATCAAAAAATAAAAAAAAATCATAATTATTAATAATTTATAAAATATAAAACAAATATTTTAAGAAAAATAAAAAAATATATTAAAATCTTTTGATTTTTAATTAAATGTAAAATAATAATGGGATAAAAATAATTAGAAATTAAAAATACATAATTTTGTAAAAAAATACAAATATTAATTATTTAATAATAAATATTTAATTAAAAAAATATTTAGAATAGAATTTAAAAAAAATAAAAAAATTAAAATTAAAATAAAAACAAAATTTTTATATAATAAATAATTAATAATAAAAAATATTATTAATTTTATTTAATTTTAAAAATAAAATATAAATTAATATATTAATTAATTATATTAAAATTTTAATATATATATATATATATATATATATATATATATATATATATATATATATTATCAACAACATTTTCTTTTTTTATTACTTATATTATTAGTTTAATATTTTTATTAATTTAATTGCATTTTTTCAATTATATTATTATTTTAGTTAAGTTATATACTTTCTTAATCTTAAAAAATACTTTTTTTAACATTATTATTAAAACATTATTATCTTTTTATAATTTATTAAAATTTAAAAAATTTAATAATAATAATAAAAATATTAACATATTTTCTTAATTTTTATCTTATTATTAATCATTTATTTGCATGTTACATTTCTATTAACTTTTAAATTATTAAATTAGTTGAATATTCATATCATAAGCCATTTAAACAGCTTAATAAAAAGCCTTTATTTTATTTAAAATATTGATTTAAGTATTAATTAAAAATTATACATTTTATATGTTTTCACCATTTTATGCTGATGTTTCAAAAAATAATTAAATTTTTTTCTCATTTTAGAATTATTAACCTTTTTCATAAGAAATTTTTCTACTATATTTATAAAATTATGTAATTATTAAAAAATAAACTTTACATTTAGTCTGATTTATTTCCTAAAAGTAAAACAATTACATTTTACGTTGCATAATCTTAAATTTCATTATACCAATTATTAAGACTTTCGAATGAATTTATACTAAATTTTTAATTAATATTTTAATATTAGGTTAAAGAAAAAAAAAAAGATATATATATATATATATATATATATATATATATATATATATATATTACTTGCAAACATCATATGTTAGACATATAATTTATGCATTTCTATAATAAGATCTTATTATTGATTTAAATGATTCTTATCCTGCCTATTTTTTATCTTTTTATTAAATATTTTATTTCTAATTACAGTATCCCATAATTATAATTATATTTCTTAATTATAGTCCTCTAGAAATATATTTTTTGTTTAAAATTCTATTCCTATTGTAGAATGACATTCTTAATAAAACTCTTGTTTTATCAGTTGTTTTAATATACTAGATTTACCAACACCTTATATTTGTTTTGTTTTTTGACTTTTTTTAATATTTTTACCATTATCTCCTATTATAATTGTTTTCATTATTATTTCATTTAAGGAAGCTTAGGAAGATAAAAGAGACATTATTTTTTATTTTTTTGAATTAAAATATATATTTTTCTAATATAAAATTATTAAAAATATTTCAAATTTTTTTAAATTTAATAATATAAAATATTTGTTTTATATTTTTTTTGAGTGAAAAATTATAAAAGTTTATTCTTTTTCTAACAATAGAAAATAAAATTTTATAAAAAAAAACAAAATAATAAATTTACTTTAAAAATTTAATAACATAATAAAGATATTTAAAAATTGAGAAAAAAAAAAATATATATATATATATATTTATGTATTTATATATTTATATATTCTAATATAAAATAAACTTTAAAAATTGTATATTTAATATTGAAAGTTAACTATTATAAATCTAATTATCTCATTAAAATCCTAATTGGATTAATATATTTTATTGAATTAATATTATATATATTTTGTGCTTTTCTAACAATAAGAAATAAAAAAATATTAATAGAAATATTTAAATAAAATATCCTTCTTTACTAATCTAAAAATACAAATGAAAATAAAAAATTCAATTTTTAATTAAAATTGAAATGTGGAATAAAAAAATACTATGTTTCTGATTTTTTATAATTCTATATGAATTTAAAAAAATAGATTTGTAAAATCTTTCTTTTAATTAAATTTTATTAAAAAAGGTAGAATTTTTTATCACTTAATCTTTGCAAAATTATATCAATCATATATATAATTTTTTTTTTTTAATAATAAATAAATATAATTAATCGAAAAAGTCAGAAAAAAAGATTATGACCTTTTTTTTTGATTGTGTTTTTTTATAAAAAAAAAAAGTTTTATAAAAACTAATATTTTTTGGTTCCTTATACCTTAAATATATCCGATTCTTAAAACTCCATTAATTAAAAAACTGGAAATTTCAATTAAAGAATTCTAAAGGTTGAACTTTAATAAAATTAGTATTAAATAAACACGTTTTTAGGAGAATTTTTCGGCTTTTTACAATAAAATTAGTTTATAATCGAACTAATTGCTTCTAATATCCGAGTTAAACACAAGAATATTAAATAAATATACTTATGATTGTTTAAATGTCATGTTTTTTATTTGAAAATGTATTATAACTAACCTATTTTAGTAAATACTATTTCACTTTAAGTGCTAATAAAACAATTTTGAAAAACTTCGATGGTTCATATATAAAATATTTATTATTTATTTTCATATAAAAATACTTTTTTTTTCACATTTTTTTATATAATTTTTGTCAGTCTAAAATTTTTAAATGAATATTTTTTAGTTTTTTATGTAAAAATAAACTTCTTCTCTAAAAGCTAAATTTTATTTTTTGTCCATAAATAATAAATAAGTAGTAAAAACAAATACAGGAAAAATAAAAAGCAATAAAATAAGTTTATTATAATATAAATTTAAAATATATTATATTAATATTTAAATACATATTTATTTAATATTAATATAAATGTTATTTTTTTTTTATTTTTTCTTAATATATATATGACTCTATATTATTAATTAGATAAATTTAATAGAAATTTTTATATTTTTATTTATATCTGATAAAATTTTAATATTTATTAAAAATTAATATATTTAATTTATATATAGAGTAAATTTAAATATATATATATATATATATATATATATATATATATATATTACTTATAATTTATATTAAATTTTTAGAGAATAGAAATATTTTTATATTAATTATATAATAAAAAAATATTATTTATATATTTATTAATATATTTATTTCTTTTTTTATTTTTTTATTTATATACTATATTTAAATTAAAATTTATTAAAGTGTATATCTCTTAATAATTGTGAAATTTCTAAAAGCGTATAAAAATCGATAAAATATACTACCAACAATATTAGATATTAGAAAAAAAATTATATGATTTAAATCTAGTATGATACTTTTATTCCAAAAATGAATATTCGATATATAATGAGAATACATAATTTAAAACAATAATTTTAATAATCTAATGACTTATAATCTTTTTTTATATTTAAAAATTTTGGAATTTTTGTTGTTTTTAAGCTACTATATATAAAATAGTTAATATATAATATGAACAACATAATAATAGAACTATTTCTTATATAAATAAGTCATTGTAATTAATAAAATTTTTAATTTACTAAAAATAGATAAATATATATATATAATATTATAATATTATTATTAAATAAATATATAATTAATATTTTAGTTTAGAGATAATTTAAAAAATCGAGAAATTTAATAGTAATTTTATAATAAGGAAATTTAATTAAGAAATAATGAGTATAATGGAATTATTTGTGAATTTCATTCATAATTATAACAATAAGTGTATTATATATAAAGATTTTTATATTTATTTATGTATTAGATTATACATTATTTGATTTTTCATGTTTAAATATAGATTTATATGAATTAATTGAAAATTTATTTACTTTTTATTATATATTTTTATCCAAGTTTATTTTTATTTATTTTTATAACTTATTTATATTTTTTAAATATATTTCACATAAAAAAATAGCAATATTATAAATTTTTATTTTTTAAATATATATATAAATAAAAAAAATAAGCTAAATATATTTATTATTTTAATAACAAAGTATAAATTTAGAATTTATAATTTACTTATATACTTTTTTTTATGTTTAAAAAAAATAAAATTAATGAACAATATTTGATTAATATTTATATATTTATATATATATATATTTAAAAAAATAATATAAAAAATATAAAATTTAAAATAAAATAAAAAATTAATATTTCAAAAAAAAACAAAAAAATATGGATTAAAACATAGAATAATAACTAAAATAATAAAAAGAATAAAGAACTATAACCATAAAAGGCTTAGAATTTGTACCTTTTATTTCAAAAGAATAATTAGATTAAACTGTAACAAGAGTAGCTGGTTAAATATCTAGAGATTACCAAGGTAAAAATCCTGTAATAATCGCTATTTTGAATGGAGCTTTTATGTTTGTCTCTGATTTGGTAAAAAAGATAAATATTATAGAAATAGAAGTTGAATTTTGTAAAGTAGCTTCTTATTAAGGAACTTAAAGTACAGAATAATTAAAAAAACTAATAGGGTTAAAATCTGATATTAAGGATAAAGATATTATTATAGTAGAAGATATTATAGATACTGGATTTACTATAAATTAACTATTGAAATATTTAAAAACTAAAGAACCTAAAAGTATAAAAGTATGTACTCTTTTCATAAAAGAAGCTAATATAAAACACTAAATTTAAGTAGATTATATAGGACTTAAAATAGATTAAGAGTTTATACTTGGATATGGTTTAGATTATGATGAATATGCAAGAAATTTAGAAGATGTATGGATTTTAAAAAATTGAAAAACTAATTTTTAAATATATATGTTATATATAAAATATATATTAGTTATATCAGTATTTTTTGATAAGTTATATTTAATATTAAAATATATAATATTACCAATTTTAAAATATTATAATAAAATATAATAGGATATAAACTAATGAAAAATAAAATATCAATATAAAAAATAGATTTATATATATATATAATATTATTTTAAATAATATACTTATTTAATGTTTATATATATTTAAAAGAAAAATAATTTTAAATTATTGTTTGAAATTAATAATTATTATATATTATAAATTTTAGATAATAATTATATTTATTTTTGTACTCATTCCAAAAATAAAAATATTATAAATTATATTGTTTTTGTAATTTTTTTTTTTTGTAATTTTTTTTTTTTTTTTTCAGAATATTTATATATTAAAAATATTGACTTTAATTCATTTTTTGTTGTCTTTTTTTTTATTTTTTTATGATTAACTTTTTTTAAAAAAAAAAATATAGATAAAACATAAAAAAAAAATAAAAATTATTTTAAATTTTGGATATAAATAATTTTAGTTTTACATATTTAATTAATCTCACTATAATAATATAAAAAAAATAAAAAAATATATTATTTTATATATATATTATAAATGTTATTTTCATAAAATAAATATACTATATATTTTAAATTTATTTTATTTATTATATTAATAATAAACTATAAATAATAATTATTATCATAATATAAAGTTTCAAATGATTAAATATTAAATAAATAAAATATTAAATTTTTAAAATATTAATATAACAATAAAATTGTCAATAAATAATAACTTTTTATTTAACTTTATCAAATTTAACTAGATATAAGTTATAAAAAAAATGTTTATAAATACTTTAAATATCTTAAAATAATTAAAAATTTTATAGTATAATTTAAATTAAAATAAATATTGATTCTAATAAGAAATCTATTTTATGTTTTTTTTAATTTATGTTTATAATTAAAAATAATATAAGAAAAATGTGCCTTTGGTAATATTAAATTATTTTTACAAATATTAATAAAAAGAAATAGAATAAATTAAAATTTGAATGTTTTGTTTTTTTTATAATTTTATAGAAATTTTTTTTCAAAAATATATTAAGGTAAAAAAAATATTGATTTAAATTAAAAAATATAGATCGGTATATTATTTAAAGATTGAAAAAAACCTTAATTTTTATTTTATTTTAATATATATAATTATTTTTAAAAAAAAAAAATTAAAATATAATAAAAAAATCGTCAAATTAATTTATAAACAGAGGTCATTTTTTATTTAAAAATTGATTTAAATTTCTTTAGTTTAAAAATAAATAATTTATATTATCTTAGTTAAAAATGATTTAAATTTCTTTAGTCTATTTATTTCTTATAAAAATATGAAAATGGAATTTTTTATTAAATATTTAATATAAAGATTAAAATAAGAAGGTTATATTAAAATTAGTTTAAATAGATTTTTTTTTTTGGCTATATATTAACATTAAATGTATTTAACAATAAATTAAATTATATATTGATAAAATAATGATATATATTTATATTTATTTTTAAAATATTTTATAGCATACATTTGACAAAATGACTAAAATAGAATACCCATTAACTCATTATTTTTTAAAAAACAAAAATTAAATGAAAGAAATATATATTAAATAAATTAATTTATGAAGTAATAAATTTTTTATTTATTTTCAAAAATTTTTTAATTATATATTTATTTCCTCTATCTATTATATTTATATTATAATAATAAAAACCAAAAAAATAACTCTAAAATGAATTTATAAAAAAAGAACTTTAATAAATATAAAATTTATGGAAAGTTTTTTTATATTTTAAATGATTGAAAGCCTTTAGAAGAATACTCGAAAATAAAAAAAATTAATATTATATTTAGTCCGAAACTAGATAAATATGGAACTCTTCCTGAAGATTAACTTTATAGTTTCCTTTATTAGTTTTAATAACTATTTTTGTTGTCATATAATTTTTAAGTCTCATATTTTTATTTATTATATGAGTTTTTCTCGTATTATTAATTTAAGAAAATACAAAAAAAGCAATTATTTTAAAATTATAAGAAAAAAAATTAATTTAGAAGTAAATTCAATTATAATAGATATTTCTATTAAACTTGATTAATTTTATTTTTGGAAATTTTTTATAAAATTTCTGATAATTACTGAGGTTTATGGCTTATTATATGAGCATATTAACTCTTTATTATCTATTTTATTTATTTTTTAGGCTTTTAGCTGATGAATATGTCATAAAATATGTATTTATGTATATAATTATATATTTTAAATTATATTATAAAATTAAAGCTTCTATATTTTACGATTATATATAATAAGAACATGATACTCGAATTTAAAAAAGCTATTTTTATAATAAATTATATAATGTTTATTAAAATATAAATGAAGAGAGTTTTATGTAAAAACATTTGATATATTTTTTGTTTTGTTTTAAATAATTTAAGTTTCTAAAGAAAAAACCTTTTTAATTATTTATAAAAATATAGGAAACAAATAAAAAAATATATATATATAAAGAAATAAATATATATAAAAACTATTATTAAGTCTACTTTTGGACAAAAGAATAATTGGCTATATATTAAATTTTATGAGATTAAAAAATATAAAGATTTTTAATTATAAATAAATAGAAAATAATTATAAAAATTTAAAAATTTTATTTAAAAAAGTTTTTTTTTAAAATAAATATTTGGTTTAATAAAGAATTATGTAAATATAAAATATTAATTAGAATATTGATAATTGTTTTATATAATTAAAAATAAAATATTTTTATTTAAGTTTTAATAAATATACACAAAAAATATATATATAATTGAAAAAATAATATTAATAATTATATTAATAATAATTAATTAAATATACATGTATATATTTAACCTTTTGGCAATATTTTTTGTGTAATTTTTGCTCAAAAAACTTCATTCAATTGTAAAAAAAAAAAATTTAATGCATTTTTATATTAAGTTATAAAAAAGAAATATAGAAAAAATACAAAATTATAAATATGTATATATTAAAATAAAATAAAAATTATTAATTTTAATTAAGTTTTAATAATATATTATTTATTTTACTAAATAAATATTTGTTAGTATTTAAAACTATATAATAATTAATTTTAGAATAAAATGTCTTATAATATAAAAATATTATATATATTTAATTTTTTTTTTTGTATTTGTATTTAAAATATAAATCTAAAAAAATAAAATAAATGACTTTGTATTATATTTGTTCTATTTTTTATATTTGATTAAGTTATTTTCAAAAAAAGTATACACTATAAATAAAAATAAAAAATTATTTTTTATTTTGATAGTAATTTTTTAAATTTTTATTTTTTTTATATTTTCTATCAAAAAAAATAAATAAATATTATAAATAATAATGGGGAAAAAAAAAATTATATATATACATATAAAAATTACAAAATATAAATTAAAAAATATTATTATTAATTTATATATAAATTGATATTTTATATATTTATAATAATCATTTAATTATTTTTTATTTATTTAATTTAGTAAATATTATATATATATATGCTATGTTTTTTGAATGTATCCATTATTTATTAATTTTATTTTTAAAACAATATTATATCATCAAATAAATAGCATTTATAATTTTTCAATTAAATAATGAAAATATAATTGAGATTATTATTATTATTATTGTAAAAATGTAAGTATTAATCGTATTTTTTCTATTAAATAAAATAAAATATATAGAAAAAAAAAAAAATTATTTAAGATTGTAATAAAAAAAAAAATATTTAAAATTAACTAAAAAAAAGTAGTTTTAAAAATAAATTTTATATTATATTGTATGATAATATAAAAAAATACATTAATTTAAATTATTTAAGGAAAATACGCATTTTATAAAATTGAAAATTAAAATTTTACAATAAGAAAATTTATTTATATTTTACAATAACTTACGCATTATATATTTGTAATAAATATTATTTAACTCATTTAATAAAAGAATTAAATATAACTATTAAGCTTTTTAAATGCCAATTTAAAACAACTGATTAAAATAATAGTTAACATAAGATTTTTAAAAAAAAATTAAAATATAAATAATTGAAATATTTTTATGAAAACAAAATATTATTAGTAAATCTTTTAATAAATTAGTTTTTTTTTAAGTAGAGAATTTAAATAAAAAAAAGATGAATTTTTCTTATATATACATATAAGTTAAATATATTATTATTAATAAGTAATAATAATAATAATGAATATATTTAATTAATATATATATTTTATATTATTATTATAAAATAAAAAAACTATTATAATTCTTACTTTTATTTTATAGATTAAATAATAAATGTTTATTTTTATAAATTTATTAAAATTTATATAAATTATTATAAATATATATGTATATTTTCTTTTTTTTTGTAACAAAATTATTCATAAATAAAAAATAAAAGTAAAAAAATTAAATTAAAAATTTTAAATAAATTTCTTATTTATTATTTATATATATTTAGTTTTTAAATTATATAAAAATATTTTTTATAAATAATATTTTAATTATAATGTTTATAAATTTATATTCTTAATAAAAAATAGAAAATAAATATATTTTATTTATTTAAAGAAAACCATTATTTATTTTATATCACGCCGGGGACAATATTTTTTTTATTTTGAATTTAATTGAAGGAATATTTTGAGAGTTTTAATAGAAAAAAAAAAATATTTAAAAAAAATAAAAAATCTGTTTGTAGATGATATATTAAGGTATAATATAATTAAAATTATATGTTTTTTTATAAAAATATAAATAAAAAAGAAAATTAACGAAAAATAAATAATATACATAATTTATTAACAAAAATAAAAGAACTTTAATTAATAAATATTTGCATATAATATTATTTAAACTAAATATAAATAAA